GTTTTTTTTGTAACCCCATCATTTATTTTCTGTAGCTGTTGTTCTTCTAATTATCATCACTCATAATTAATGGTTTTAGATCATGGTGGTTGTGTTGACGACCACTTAAGATTTTTTCAAAATAAATGAAAAATCAAGTGTGAAATGTATAAGAAAAGGAGAGTCGCCACTCGTCCAAATTATAAGGTGGGACAAGTCACCTAAAATGGGTCTGCGCAGAGATCGAGGTTCGGGGGTTCGGTTAGGAGTGAGGAAGGGCATATGCGCATCTCACAATCCTCCGTTTAAACACGGTTGCATACTTTAACATTAGGGGTTTTGATTCAACTTATATATTACATTTATGTTTGAGTCTTAAAAAGAGATAAACCAAATCAAAATATTTTTTTTATTTTTGGACTGAAATAGACAAGATCAAGAACATGCATGCACAATAAACACAAATAAAAAATAAAGGGGCTACTTTGACTAAATTCGAAACATGAAGGACTAATTTGGTTAAATTCAAAACATAAAGGACTAATTTGAAAAGAGTTAAAACCTATGGACTGAATTGCTTAATTACAAAAGTTTTGGATGAAATTGAGATAAAATGAAAGATATCTTTGACTTTGACCAAAATTAAAGTTAATTGAGAATTAAAATTAATCAATCAAGATAATTAGTTTAATTGAATAATTAATTTAACATTAATTAAAATTAATTAATCACATTTATTAATCATTAACTTGAGATAATAAATTATCTAATTATCTCAAATCAAATTCAATAAATATGATTAATTTATTTTAATTAAAATTAATTAACTTCATTAATCATAAATTAAACTAACTCCCCTAATTAATCAATAAAATATGTATTTTTTACTTTTAAACCTTTTTAGTTTTTTTTTTTTTTTGTTAGATTGGGTCGGGTTGACTCGACCCACAAAAACACAACCCATCAAACTATAATAAGCAAAACAGATCAAACATCAAACAGAACAAGTCTGGTTCATCTCCTTTCCACCCCTTTTTTTTGTTTTAAAGAAGAACACATTCATTTCAAATAAAAATAAAATAACATAAAACATTCATTAACAAAAAAGAAAGGGAAACACAATCTTCACACAAAACAAACTGAACATTTTTTTTTATCTTTCATTGATTTTCAGTAAACATATACAAACGTAAACATCACAAAAGCATGTCACGGAAACAGGAAGACAAAACAAACAAACACGGCGGAGTTTTCTGGGTAACAGATCGAAGTCCGATCTGGCGGATCCCACCCACGAGATCAAGCCCAGATCATTCCCCTCACTGCCTCCCCAAAAAGACTCCTCTGTTCAAAGGTTTACCTAAATAGACAGAAGCAGACACAGCAAACAAGCCCTCCGTCAACCTCCGGTACGAAAATCGAGCCCCTTTCAATAGAAAACTTTTCCTTTTCTCTGCCGGCAACACCAGAAAAACAAAAAGACTCCTCCGCCGTCAACACCAGAACCACCCAACCAAAGAGCTTAGCTATCCTAAAACCACCTATTTATACAAAAATCAAAGGAAACCCTAAAGGACGCTGGTCTACCATCATGCTCAGTTGGCTGCAACGTGGGGTGCAGGATCCGGTTGCAGAAGAGGGGCGGCGCAGAGAGATTTGGTTGCAGAAGAAGGGCGGCGCAGAGGGGGGGGTGTAGGCTGCTGTAGGCTCGACGGGTGCAGGAGAAGGGAGGCGGAGTCGGCTAGGTGCAGGGTAGGTTGCAGGCGTGCGAGGGTGTGATGATGGCTAGTTCGGTGATAGGGGGTAGGGCGCGGTGCAGGGCAGGTGTAGGCAGCAAGCCGGGCTCGGGTGAGGATGCAGAGCAGGGGCGCTGGGCAGGGGTGCTGGTGCACAGGGCGCAAGGCACGGGCTCAGGGCGCTGGGGTGCGCAGGGTGAGGGGATCTGGTGCGGGAGCAGGGGTGGGTTCCAGATCCATTTTTTATTTCACTTTTTTTGTTTAGGTTAAACGGGTTTGGGTTTGGACAATTTAGTGGGTTTTGGTTGGGTTTTTGAGTTTGGTTTTGATGGGCTAGATTTAGCTTAAAAGATTTCGTCCCCCAACTTTTGATTTCTTCAATTGAGTCCTCTTTCTTGAGTTTCTTTTCCAATTTCTTCTTAAATTTCTTTTTGCATGTAGTCCCTGAAATAAAAATAAAAATATAGATAGCTTAGTTAAATAAAAGGGGAAATTTCATATTTTTATATTTTTGATTTTTCTTCTTTTTTTTTTGGATGAAAATTTGAGTTATGACAGGTTGTGTCAAGGAGATATTAATTGGTTTTGATTTGTTCAAAGTCCAATGGGATTTTAAATGACAATGTGTTGGTGTAGGTGCTTCTGGTGATGT